AGGTGTTTTATATTTGATAAAGTCATTCTCTTACTATAGCCTCTTACTATATTTATTGCTTCTCTTACCACTTCTAAATATACCACATTTAGCTATCTTCTTAATTAAAATCTCAATGCTACCTTAAAGTTATTGGTACTACTTTGCCAATTATGGATTCATATACACAGCCTTTTGCAATATTACTTTCTGTGACCTATATCACATGCAGTGCCCAGTCTTCTCCATGGCTCAGAACTCCTTCCAAGAATTCTTTATTAGCCAAATATATATATCATATAGTCTTATCACCACAGAATTTCATATTTAAAAGCTCCCAAAGGTTATAAAGATAATTAATTAAATTAATTACCACCAGCTATAATCGAACTATTGATCTCATTTGTAGAGAGTTAGGTGCCCAGACTACTAGGCTACAAGACCCTAACCCTATACATAGATATACAAATAAAAATTGCTTTAAAATAAATAAACTTTTTTTTGTTAAATATATTTACAAAACTTTTTATTTAAAAAAACTTTATTTTAATTGAATTATTAGTTGCTAAAATAATTATAAAAAAATATTTTTTAATTATTTAAATTTTAAAGGTTTTTGCTAAAGTGTATAATATATATTGTAGCTAAAGCTAAAAATGGCTAATAATTAAAATTTTAATTATTTTAATATAAAATTTTCAAAAATTTTTTAGACCTTTTGTTAGAGGTTTTTTAAAAGTTAGATTAGAGTTTAGAAGTAGTTTTAATAATAAAAAAGTATAAGTAGATTTTGTTAGTATTATATTTTTAAATTAAGATCTCTAATTTTAATCATCAGCTATTTTTTGCATTAGCTACAACAAATATAATTTATATTAAAGATATTTGAAGTCTTATTAATAGTATTTATATATTAAAAAAGCTATATATTGTTATTTAACTTTTTATTTTATATTTTTATTTTATTTTATTTGTTTTTATTATTTAGGGGAGCTATCACTTATTACGTAATTATTGCCCCCCTCCAAAGTCAGTTATTTGACAATTACAAGTTCTAAAGTAATCATAATATAAACTCTATACGATTGGTTATTTTAGAGCTTACAATTGTCAAACGATTACTTACTTTAGAACTTGTAATTGTCAAATGACTGACTCTAGAGGGGCTATAATTACGTAATAAGTGATAGTTCCCTAATATCAATATTGTTATTTTTGTTTATATTTGTTTAGTTTTGTAATTGGTTTTAGTATTATTTAGTTTTGTTATAGTTTATTGAATTTTGTTTAGTTTTGACATAGTTTTAATATAGTTTTTAAATTTTTTTTTTTTTTTTAAGTGATCCTGCTTTTATTCATACAAACTATTATTTTGAGCAACTAAGTATTGAATTACAAATATTTTTTATCTAGTTAAAGTTTTAGTTACTATATATTACCGAAAATAAGCAACCCTCCAATTTTGAAAATCAAAAATAAAAAAAAATATTTTTTTCTAAGCTTTGGACCCGAAAATAAGCTACTTTCTCTATTTTATCTGAAAAAATCAAAAAAATTTTAGTTGCTTATTTTCGGTAATATATGGTAATAAAAACTCACCAAGTATACTAAGTGCTATTTAATACAACCTACTATAACAACTATTAGTTTTAGAAACTTGTATCAGATTTTGTATTATACAAAGGATACTCTCTCAATCATTTGACAAGTTGTTGTATATGATATTAGGATTTTTTTCCTTTTAATTCTTCTTTCTTCTCAAGAGGTACAAGACAAAAGGTAAAAATTTTAACAAGAATTTATGAAAACAATCAGAAAAAGAAAAAAAAAAACACTAATTATGAAAAAGAAAAAACATAAAAAGAAATCTAAAACTCTGAAGGCACTATTATAATCTATGCATAGCTAATAAAAATTATATACCAAATATAATATTTGCATATCTTTTTTGTAAAACTTTATTTTAATATTAAATTTACTTTTCAACCTTCCTACCAACTCCAGATAGCTTTGTTGCTCATTCTAATTCATATTCTAAGCCAGGTGCTGCTATCATCTGAAATCTCATATTACAAACTATCTGCTACTATAATTAGAGTTTTTGTGCTAAGTCTTGTAAAGTAGCACCATATCTGCTTATAAACAACTACATAATTGCATACAGTCAACCCTCTGTAAGTGCACTGTGTACAGACCACAAAAAATCTTGCATTTAGAGAGGTAAAAATCTATAAGTGTATATATAGTAGAGCCACAGCAAGACCATGCATTTAGAGAGGTCTTGCATTTATGGAGGTTGCATTTAGGAAGGTTTGACTATATTAAAATTAAAAATTAGTCAAATATAAAATTCTAAAATTGCAAAGATGTAGCATTTTAGTAAAGTGGTTTAGTTATTACCCTCTCCAAATAGTAAAGGTATAGGTTTTATATTCAATTCCAGAAATAATGTTTTTAGACATATGGGTAGATTTGTTTCTATTCAATATGTCACAAAATTTGATTTTGTTATATATAATAATCAAAATATAATAATTAACTAATCAAATTGATGACTGTGATAGAGATAATACCTCAATTTGAATTAATATATCCAGATATATACTATGTCATGTAATATAACATGTCATAATGTTTTTATATCTGAATATAAATATATCTAAATTTAAATTTATATCTGGATTTATACTATGATAAAACCAGATTAATCCAGATATAAATATATTCAAATTGAGGTAACTCTAAACTATGATATTTGTGTGATAATATCAATCAAAACATGGCTGTCAATCAATCAAATTAATAATATACTATTGCAAAGCTTTACTTTTTATTTAAAATATTTTAATAGCAACTATGTTTTATTTTTTTGCTATTAGCACTCTTACTAGAAATGAATTAAAACCTTTAGCTTATATTAAATTAAAATACCACTCATATATACACATATTTGATCTAAACTATATTTACATTGACTTACTACAGTACTAGGCAATTAACTTCTATAAAATGAATTAAATAAATTTTTTTTTAAGATTATTGTTAAATATAAACCAAAAAATTAAATATAAACATGAAAATTTCCATATCATAATACCAAACTACTGTAGTTTTGTATTCTTTAGAGATTTTTGCTACATTTACATGTTTTATATGATTTACTCTTTGACATTGTCACTAATAAAAATTTAAGATCTTAAAAAAAAATTTAGGATTTTTGAAACTAAGACTTTGTTGAATGTAAGTACAAAAATCTTTATACCACAATACCGAAGCTAGTCATGTATTCTTTTAAGACTTTTAAGATCTTTAATACATTTTATATATATTCTTTATTTTTTCAATCCTTTAACAATGTTACTAACAAGAATTTAGGATCTTGAAAAAGAATTTAAAAAAAGACTTTATTGAATATAAATATAAGATATAAAATTTCACACTATATCATATATAAAAAGTTATATTATTTCTACAAAGCTCCAAATTTTAATAGTGTATTAGGTACAAATTTGCAAAAAAAACTCTTTTTGCCAATCACTTTATCCAAAACTAGAGCTAAAAGAAACCCAAAAATTTGTTTTAAGAAAAAAGATCGAGCAAAAAAATTAACTCAACTTTAATAAAACAATTTTGCTTTAAGCTGTCTCTTTTTGACAATATATAGGAAAACTTTAGCTTTTTGTCAAAAATTTTAAAAATTTTACAAAACTTGGGGATTTGGTCATACTCTTGTCTGCAAATCACTAAGACAACACAACAAAACAAACAACTCTATTTGGAAATAAACAAATAACCAAATTAGAACTGATAGCTCTAAATAGTATTTAGATTACAAATCTACAAAAAATAACAAAAAACAACAAACAAACATTTGTCACAGAGTTTCTCAACACTTTGTGCATTTGTGGGTATTTACTATCTAACTTCACTCGCTTGGCAGTTATGCTATGACTAGAGTATCATATAGGTACTTCACTATCAGTTTCAATACTTCAATAAATGTGGGGCGACCACTTAGTGTATGTATGATAATTACTAAAGCCAAAGCTAAATGCTGTTTTATTATTCTATAATATTTACTTTAAATAATACAAGATTTAACCCAGATATTAATATATCTAGTTACACACATTAGACTATCTACAATTAGACTTTTAATTAAATCCGCATTATGCAAATTCAGATCACACCATTAACACACTCTAATTATGATTAGACCCAGCACCACACAAACCTAGAGTATCAATTTAACCTATGATACAAGCTAGAACCCAATAACTTCATCTCCAAAGTTTCTACCAACAAACATTCTCATTTACTAACTATACTACTATGTATTCCAATCTAATAATTACCAAATTTCAATTAATACTAATTATATTAACACTAACAAATTTTTTTTTTTTTTTATAATACATCTTTTACTTCAGTATACTACTGACTGTTGCATAATTGTTCCTTACTTTGGTACTTTTTTTACTGACCATTGTTTAATTAAATTATATTTCAGCATTTTTTTTTCAATTGTCACATAAGTTCAATTCTATTAATCAGCATATATATCACATGTACCACATGTACCACATATACCAAATATTTTGAACCAGGACAAATACCTTTTTTTCCTTATTTTTTTTATTTTTTTTTTCTTTATACTAATGTTTTATATTTCATTTTCATTTATATCACAAAAACCTCAGATCTATTTATCCAAGTTTTCGCACTTCAAGTCAGCTTTCGAACACCATGTTTACCAAGCTATCACATCCAATTATATAATTCAAATATAATCATTTTATAAAGTCTATCTTTTCACTACTACTCTTCAAGATTGGCTCTAATATCTGATTCATGTGGGTCTTCAATTATCCCAATTTTATGCTTCGATTTTGCATTTTGCAGTTTGTTAATAACATCTCATTTTATATCTTTTGCTTCACAATCTTATTATTTTCCTCTTCATTACCATCTTCACTTTTCTTCATATAGTTCATATTCATGTTCGTTTCAACTTCAATTTCTCAAGAACAAGCTTTAGCTCTACTATTTAAGCTAGTTTTCCCAAAGCTTCCATTTTTATCAACATTTACACACCAGGCAAGTATCTGGTTTTTATCTCTCTTAACACTAATTTTATTCTGATTTTTCCATCTTGCTGCCATAATGGCTATTGTTGCATTAATTTGTGATATTTCTGTTTTATTATATTTAGGTATAAGAACCTTTATCATGAAAGCTTTTATTTCTGGAATTCACCAATACAACTGGCCCAACAAGAACATTGTTTCTAACTTAACAAGTTTCATTACAAGATTTTGGTTTCAGCGCAGCTTTATCAATAAGATATACATTTTTAATTCACCCTGCTTTCTTTTTTCATTTTTGTCACTACACTTATCTCTGTCTATTTTCGTAGACTTCTTTGTTATATTATCAAATTTTTTTGGCTTTTCTCTTCAAACATATTACTAGCATTGTCAAGCTTAATTTCTAGATATTGTTTATCCTTCTTAGCTTCAATTCTATTTTGACTATCATTACTAGCATTGTATATTTCATTGCTATGCCGTACATCTGCGAATTTTTGATAATAAATGAATTTCTTGGAATCATTCTTTTCAATCTATTTTCCTTTATTATTTAGATTTGTTTCTTCATTATGCATAAAATATTTGTTTCTTGAACTTTCTATATCATTTGCCATTTTTCTTGCTAATTCTACATGCTGTAAGTCGACCAATATTGCTTTAGAATCATTATCCTTTATGTTACAACTTTTAGTTCTTTCGATTTAGGCAAGATTTAGCTAGATGTCTTGGCCTTCTACATATGTAACATAGTCATGGTCTTCTGATCCTTTTCTTTACTTTTGATCATTCGATTTTATTAAGCAGTCCTGTTAATCTGCCTATGATGATCTTGATTTTACAAGTTCACATCTATCAATTTCAATTCTATTCATTTTCTAGTTTTTTTTTTGTATTTTGTATATATTTTTTATTTTATTTTTATTTTTTTATATTTTTTATTTTTATTTTTATTTTTTTTATTTTACTATTGTTAATTTTCTTTGTTGATGTTTTTTATTTCATACTAATAGTAATTCCAAATTCTTTGTGTAATACTTTATTTGAACTTAACTTTTCTTTGTTTTTGTTCACATGAAGCTATTTCCATTAACAACGCTTCTTGAACTTTGCTGATTATATCTTCAAGCTTGCAAGGGTACTTTTGTTTACCCAGGTCCTTGTTTGTCATAAAGTTTCTTAACACTCTGTGTATTCATTGGTCTTTACTATCTAACTTCACTTGCTTAGCAGTTATGTAATAACTGGAGTATTGTATAGGTACTTCACTATTAGTTTCAATACTTCAATAAATGTGGGTGACCATTTTATGTATGATAATTACTAAAGCCAAAGCTAAAAGCTGTTTTATTATTTTATAATATTTGCTTTAAATATTACAAGATTTAACCTGGATATTAATATATCTGGTTACATGTATTAGACTATTTACAATTAGACTTTTAATTAAAACCTCATTATACAAATTCTGATCATGCCATAAACACACCCCAATCATGATCAGACCCAGCATCACACAAACTCAGGGTATTAATTTAACTCGTAACAGCTCACAATACACATGTTTCAAATATTCAAGAATATTCAAATAAAACTACTTCAACTTGTAGAAGCAACAGAGCATTTTAATGATGAAGATAGATTTATTTGAAGATTTAGCAACAGCCTCACAAGAAAGAGTAAAAGAAATTTATACTAATTAAAAAGAAATCATGCTCAAAGCATATCTGGGCTTCAAAGATCTAAAATTTATTGTAATAATTAGAAGTGCAATAGACTGTTATAACTGGTTACAATTACAAAAAAACAAAGGTATGTTACTTTTGATAGAAGAACTCGTTTTCTTAGAAAAAGTAACAGAAATTTTAACATGTACAAAGATAGAAAGAGTGACACAAGCACAAAGTAACCAAGCTATCTCAACAGAAATGTGTATAAATATAGATATGAATAAATTAACACAAAAAGCAAAAAAATATGAAGCGAAAAAGGGAGAAAGATGATAATATAGAGAAGCTAAAATAAAAATAAAAAAGAAAAATCTATTATAATTAGACTAGCAGAGATGAATCTGATCAAAAGTAAAATAAAGATTCTAAAAGAAGATAATACAGTAAATACAGAGAAAATAGTAACTCTTTTATATACAGAATGTGGATACATAGATCATGGTGCAAAAGAAGTTAAGAAATGGATCACTCTAAGTAAAATAAAGGAGCTTTTAAACAAAAATGATAAAAAAGTAATTAGAAAAAAAATTAATAGTTCTATTTGGGTACCAAAGTACAAGTCATCACATAACAATATAGTAGTAAATAAAGTAGAAACTGCTATAATAGTAAAAAGAAAGAGATTGAAATATTCATGACTATCTGGAACCTTTCTTTTTTGACAAATACTGCAAAAGTGATTAGATGTTTAAAATATAATGATACAACAGAGATAAGTTGAAGGCTATATACATAAGGATTTTATACAAAAATGAGGAGAAAAAACAACTACTGCAAAGGATATGAGCACTTCCTTTTTAAGAAAGAAAAACAAGTAGGCTATCAATAGGGAAACTTGATGAAGAAGAATTGGAAAAGAGAAAAGAATTTAGAATAGACTTAAAGCAAGTTTTATACTTAGCATATAAAGCAGCTTTACTTTGGCAACTCAAAATTTTTAGAATGGTGTGCATCTCTAGAAATAGAAAAGGAAATCAAAAAAGTACTGTCTTTATATATTTTACGTCATTAAAGATTTACAAATAACTAAAGCCTCAACACTATATTACTATAATAATATGATAAAATAGAATAAGAAAAAGAGTATGAGGCATTTAGAAGTACATATAACAAAAAAAATCAAAATATTTTTGATTTTAGAGAAAAGAGTATAGATAGTTACAATATTTACTCAAAACAACAAAAGCGCTACAACAACCAAGAGCCCAAAGTAAAAAAAAGTAAAAGTAACACTAGTAGCTTGAGTAATTTTAGATATAACAATAGAAGCAGATTTAGCTCTAGCACTAGAAAGCTGCTTAATAGAATAAAAAATTTTGATCTGAACAAGCAAAGCCACTCAAAAAAGGTAGTAGCAACAGGCTCAAATAATCTAAAACTAGGTAAGAGAAAAAGCAAACAAGTTGAAATAAAGAAAGAAAAAATTTTTTGTAGAAAAAAATTTTGCCAGAAATGCAAGAAAGATTTAGAACAATAGAGCTCCTTTTAGCAAGACCTTCTAATATTTGCCACAGGTAAATCAAAGAATTTAGAAAAGGCAAGTTGTCTTACTAATATCTTACACACACCCAATATGATAGAAACAAGTAAGAAGAGAGTAAAAAATATTTGCTTTGAGTTACTCAAAATAGGCTTTCATAATATTAACAGTTTAAAGACAAATTAGCAAAAGTTACTAGCACTAGCAGATTGAATAAAAAAGAAAATTTAGACATAATAGGTATTGCAGAAACTAATATAAGCAAAAAGGAAGAAAATGAATAAATACAAACCAGCTAGATTATATTAATTTTTGGTTATCCAAAGAGAAAGACAAGAACAAGGGCTATGGTATTGGAGTGCTAGTTAACAAAAAGTGGTCAAAGTATATAGGTAGAGTAGTAAAACCTAGTCCTATATAATTAGAATAAGATTTTTCTTTAAAAAAGTAGTATTTCAAGTATGGATATTATATCTACCACTTGCAGATAAAAAGATTAACAAGAAAGTTCAACAAACTTTGATAAGAGAAATATGTAGCAATAAAATTAACACATACACTTGCATAATAGGAGATTTTAATACAGTAGATAGTACAAACATGAATACAAATAACAATAATCACAAAACTCAGAGCTAGGCAAAACTTTAATAGAGTGGCTTAGAAATAGAGATTTTATAGATTTATTTCATTATATGAATCTTTACAAAAAAGAATATACTTGGCAAAAAGACAATCTAGTTTCAAGAATAGATTATATATGAGAAAAGGAAGATTTACAAAATCTAGATATTAGTAACATGAACATTTTAACAGGAAGTGATCATAAGCTCGTCTAAGCAGAAATAGAAACAGATACAATATTACATTATAGTAAACTTCAGAGAAGAAAAAAAAAATAGACTAATAAGATTAGTTTTCTTATATTACAAGACAACAGAGAAAAATTGGGAGTCTTATAGCAAGTGTGTAGATACCTCTTTAAGAAAAAAAGAAATCTCTAATACCAAAGAAACTGCTCAGAGTAATGAAACTGAGCTTAATAAAAAGTGAAAGATCATAAGTAGTGCAATATTAAAGGCAACAATGAAGTATTCCATAGATTAATATTAAAAAAACTGAGACACAGGCCAAAGCCTTAGTTCCAAAATACAAAATATACAAAGAAATTAAGTTCTTGTACTAGCTGCAAAAGAAAAGTTACTTGTATAGTGAGCAAGAAATAAGCCTTGCTGATCAGACAAAATTCAATATACAGATTGATAGTTTAAATTAATTGCCCTATTAAAAAATATATACTGAAATTATCTTGAATTATACTAAACTTTTCCATATAAATTTTGTGTAAATTCTGTATAAATTCTGTATAAATTCTGTATAAAATTCTGTATATAAATATATAGAATTGAAGACAAATTCTGCATTACTTGATACAGATTTTATATGGAAACTTTTATTAATGATTTAAATTATATATATATTTTTATATAATTAAGTATAAATTTTGTAAAAT